GTTCTTGAAGAGGACCCAGGTTCAGTTCCCAGCACTCACATGATGGCTCATAACCACCTGTAACTTCAATTCCAGGGGATCCAACATCCTCTTCTGACCTCTATATGGTACACATGCATCCATGTAAGCAAAACTCATGCACATAAGGTACAAATTAGTCTTTGTTTTCTGTTTTGTTTTGTAAGTGATAACTGCCCTTTGCAAGATTGAAATCGTAGCCCTGGGTCATTTGATCGTTTGTTAATGATCATTTGTTAATGATTTGTTAATGAAAAGACCTTCAGCTACTAAGGAAAGATCTTTAAAGATTGAACTCTGCCTTCTCCTTTGGTAACCCTTTAGTTGACACTTCCTTGAAAAATCTGCTCTCTTGAACTGATCTCCCTAAATGGTTATTAGTAAACTGCAAAAAGTGTTCTGGGAAGAGATGCTGGCTTCGTTTGACACTTATTCTCTGACTGAAGCTTGAAGCATATAATCGGTGTCAGGCTAAGGGCTGGCGGTTGGTAATTTTTAAGAAACACAAATGGCTTGAATTCGTGGTGTCCACAGGAGTGGCAGATGCCGCTGCAGACAATGCAGAAAGTTATCACTATCTTTTCCCGAGCCAGAGAGTCATCATGCTTCAGTAAAATGTTACTAGTCTGTACTACCCCCGTGCATTCATGTTGATCAATAGCTGGACATTAAATGACAACAAAGTGCGACTCTGCAACAAAAGGATATACAGATGAACCATCAATAACTCTCCCTCTGTTTGGGAAGCCAAGATATACCTGGCAGAAATGTGAATGATCACCCATGGAGATAGCGTTAGGCAAGCAGAAGGGGTCAGAGTTCAGCTGTAGTCAAGGCTTCCAAGGTCTGGGGAGTGGAGGACGACCTTAGCTTCTCTGGGAGGAGCATGGACAGGGCACACTTTAACCCAGTTTGAGCTAATGCAGCCTGTCAGCCTGGGAATTCTGGGTCAAGTCATGGGAGGGTATGTAATTAAATGTGGGTGGGGTTTGTGGTGAGAGAGAGTTTGATTCTTAATCCACTCGTAGCACTGTCGTTTCTGAGTGAATGCTCACTTGAGATACATTCGTAGCAGCCTTTTTAAACTGTTCTCAGGGAAATATCACAACGGTGCTAGGAACAATCCAACTGCTGCTTTGACCTGTCACTGGGTTCCAGGGTTCCTTGGTTGGAAGTGACTGTGTTTCTGACTACATGCCTCCTTCGGAAGCAGAATTCCAAGAAAATAGGTCTTGCTCCTCCATCCAAGCCACACACTTTCTCCCAAACAGGATATCTGCCAAAAATAGAGTCACCACTGTCTCTTCCTCAAACCAGTATGTACCCAAAATGGCAGGTCTCTGCTTGTGACCCTCAGGTCGCCAGTAGGTAAAGGGGAAACACGTAAAGGCTTGGACGGCCCCCACTGTGAATCAGGAAATATGATTCTACTCCTTCTTGACAGGGACGCTAAATGGTCTTTAAAATCCAGTCAGAATGCTAAAAGGTAGGCATTGCAGCTCACTGCCGCACTGTTCAGAGCTGAGTTTTCTAAAAGCAGCTGTAAAAATAAATAGAAATATGGATTTGCAACCAGGCATGGTGGTACATGCCTTTAGTCCCAGCACTCGGGAGGCAGAGGCAGGTGAATCTATGCGAATTTGAGGCCAGCCTGATCTACAAAGTGAATTTTAGAACAGCCAGAAACCCTGTTTTGAGTAACCAAAAAAAAAAAAAAAAAAAAGAATTTGCTTGCCAGAACAGTATAGATATCTGTGAACAAAACTTTCAAATATCATTTTAGTAAAATTTCAAAAGCCATAAAGAACTATCACAGAGGAATTAGAAAGGAGGCCTGTAAAAGCTGTCCTGGTCCCAGTTTTCATGGAATTTCTTAATACTTTGTTTCCAATGTTCCTAAAGTTGAGAACACTGTAAAATAAAAGTTTTCATCTTGAGTTACTTAGTATTCAATATCGTTTGCCTTAGATATTAATGTTGTCTACATATTAAACCCCCGAGTCCAGCACACTTTAGAATTAGAATTGATGCATTGAATGAGTATGTTTTCTTTCCCAGAACACTAGGATTTCTGTCACTCACTGTCTTTCAGTTGTCACTAACCTGGCCAAGTCCTAAAATGAGGTTCACATTTTGTTGGTATCAATGAGTATTTTAAATGAGTTAATGACAAAAGCCATCTCACAGTTGTCTGCTCCTCCTTCAGTCATTTTCCTGGTTAGCCACAACTGGGTATGTGGAGCATCTGGACTACAGAGCCAGAATTCAGTGGGCGCGGGGTTCATAATCACCACTATTAGGTTTTAATATTAATTGGCTAACATGTAATGTTCTCTGTGGACTTCTACCATTGGTGGTCCAGGCCTATTACTGAAACCACCAGGCATTTCTAGGAATCCATACACATCCGAATTGATAGGTTGAAACTGAGAAGGTATGAAGTCTTATTTATCAGCAGTCCAGTTGGAGTTTTGTTTAATCTTAGTTTAATAGTTCTCAGTTCTGGCTGCAGAGTAGAATCATGGGGAAAGGTGGAAAGATACACTGGGCCGTGGTGGCACAGGACTTTAAAGGCAGAGGCAGGCTGTTTTCTGAGGCCAGTCTGGGTCTTCATAGCAAGTTCCAGATCAGCAGGGGCTACATAGGAGACCGTTTCTCAAAATGATGGGGATGGGGATGGGGATGGGGATGGGGATGGGGATGGGGATGGGGATGGAGATGGAGATGGAGATGGAGATGGTTATGATTATTTCTGGGCCCACCAGCACATAGGAGCTCTTACCTGTATTTTTTAAAGTAATGTGGTGATTTCCAAACATGACTGGGGTTAAGATCATCTCATTGGGTTTTGTTGGCCACTCTGGTTTTTGCATGTCTGGCTCCACTTCTCCTCCGTTCTTCTTTCGAATGGCAGTCCTTTTCAGAGCTTCATGCTGGGACAGGCATCATTCCATGGGCTGCCTGTGCCTACAGAAAGGGCCTTAAGCTCAGGGAATCATGTCCAGGCCATTCAAGTCCAGCCAGTTTGAACACCGCCTAGGACAGATTTTCCAGAAATACAAGTAGCAGTTCTCCCTGACATGACTAACAAGAACTAGTTTAATGCCCAGTGACCTTGCCTTACCTGTCAACCTCAGACGGCAACTCTGATTTCCAGATGAATTGCACAAACACTTGCCAAGAGAAATCTGATGTCCAGCACTGTTCTCAGCCCTGCCGAGGACCCCAGATAGAGACTCAACAAGAAGGGCTTCCTGCTCTCCCGGGGGAGGAAATGTACGGGGGCCGGGAATAATGCTACAGAGAAAAGAGGGCTTCCTGGAACAGCATCCTAGAAAAACAGAATGAAAAGAAATTGGTTTAGTCTACGTCTCAGAAAGAGCATGGATAGAACTAACTGTGAAAAGTGGCAAAGTGCCAGGCTGGCGAACAACCTGCTGAGCGAAGACTGTGGTCAGAGTATCACACAGAACCCATAAAGGCTGCATAGCATTCTCTCGAATGAGTGCCCAGTAGCCCAGTTCAACCACTAGTCTCTTACGGCGGACTGTGATGTCATCTTCTCCTTTCTGTTTTAAAAATGGACATAATGAAATATGCACCCTTAGAATAACATTTTTGGAAATCAGAGTACTAAGTCAAAGCGATTTTGAATACAGCTAATTCATACTTGGTATAAAAAAAGTAGTAAATATATGAAAATTTTTAATCTCATTCATTCCTGTCCTTGTATTAGAGACCCCAAAAGAGTGACAGGCAGCTGCAGTGAGGAAGGAGAGTTGCTTCCTGGTGAGGAGGGAGGTGGAGAGGGTGTGGCCATGTGGAGAAGGGAATGAGGAGAAGGGACTCATTCATTTTAGTGGAATTTTACAGATTAACCTTCTATAACGTTGTGTTTATGTATATTATATTTAGATGGGCATAATGGTTTGCAGAGGTAGGCAGGATCTCTGTGAGTTTGAGGACAACTTGACCTTTATAGCAAGTTCCAGGCCACCCAGGGCTCTATAGTAAGACCTTATCTCAAACAGATATACATGGATGAATTGCAATTAACTTGCTTTTTAATTTACTCCTGTATTGTCAACATCATTTCAGCGTCAGTCAGATTGAGAATCCTGTGATACATTAAATTGCAAATAGTATTTAAGTGAATTTGTCTGCTTTGGCCAGTGAACAGATATGAAATGTTTTACATGTGGAGAAGTAATTTAGTAAACACGACAAGAAGAAGGCTGACAGGGAAGTGTTTCTAAAACCCATCCTGTCCTTGTGACCCCAAAAGTGTGACAGGCAGCTGCAGTGAGGAAGGAGAGTTGCTTTCTGTTGAGGAGGGAGGTGGAAAGGGTGTGGCCATTCAGAGAAGGGAATGAGGAGAAGGATGGAAGAGCTGTCTGGGAAATGAGAGATTCCCAACCTTAGGACCACGGGACTGAAGTTCCTTCCCCACAAAGACCACAGGAGTAAGGGAATGAGCTTGGAAAGCAAGCTGATGCCAGACCATGGTCAAAATTCTTCTAAAGAGCTTTTAAATTTTTTTCTTCCTTGAAGAAATTCCTTCTAATAACATAGTTTTCATTTAATATAAAGAAAACTAATTTGTAGGAAAATAGTGAAACTTAATGAACATTTTCAATGGATATAAGTAGTGGATTTGTCATAGGTTGTAAGAACATTTACTGTTTCTCTCCTTGGGCCCAGGAACAGTCTAGACACAGATTGTTGGCAGGAGTAAGACCTGATCAGAATGAGATTGGTTGCGCCCATAGGATCCATTCCACTATTGCACCAATTAGCATGGCTTCCCAAGTCAGCCATTCATATATTTTGGGTTCACAAGTGGGTTCTGTGTTTTTGGTTCTGTGTGTTCTAGGCTATGGGTACCCCGTTTCCCAAGTTTCCCTGGTAGAGGGGCTGCTCTGTAGATTGTACCCGGATTTGTTTCAGCTAAAGTCTTGATGGTATTAGAGATGGTTGGGAATATGGCTCTGCACCAGGGTACCAGAAGGGAACCACAGCAGAAGAAGGAGATGCCATGTGGGTCAGATGACAGGCCTCTTGGCAGGTCAGCATTGTGCCAGCAAGGGCCATGCTTAACAATCACTGAAGGCCTTCGGGGTTCAATTCGATGTAAATGAGTAGTGTGATTATCAAAAAGAAAGCACAAGAGGTCACCAGAGAAGAGGATGATGGCTTGAGAGAATTGGTTTGTTGTTTGTGGGGTTTTTTTTTCTTAAATAATAATTTAAAATAATTTACTTTAAAAAAAAAAAAAAACCTATGTGGCTGCATGTGTATTTGTGGGAGGATGACGGTTCCCCTGAAACCGAAGTTACAGACAGTTGTGAGCTGCCATGTGGGTGCTGAGACTTGAACTCAGGTCGTCTGGAAAAGCAGCCAGTGCTGTTAGCCAAGCCAGCACTCCAGCCTAATGACAACTGTTTTGAACCACATGACGTTGAAGTCTATGCTGTGTGGACCTAACCCTGCTCTTTTCTTTCTCAACAGGAAATCACTTGGAATGTACCTGTAAGTGTGGAGGCCTTCTGTCAGGAGGACTGTTAAATATAAAGACATCCCAACCTGAGGTGGAGACGGGGATAGCAAAAGGCAAGCACAGCCGGGGCCATGAACAGTTCCCCACGCAGGGAAATACTCTGCCCACAGTGAACCTGACAGATGACCAGATAGCCACCGGCCTCTACGGTAAGTCCCCTTGCAGTTTGTGTTGGAATTCTAGGCGGCACTGCCAGCCTTCCAGCCAATGATTTACAAGCCGACCTGGAAGAAGGGTTATATAATAATTTTTTTGGCAGCGAGGCCTAAAGTATCCTTAACAGAAAGCAAGCTGTGATGTCTTGACTACAGAATATGTGCTATACAAACAGCCTTCCTAGCACACACAGTCTGCCTCCTAGGTTATCTAAGCTGAAGAAAAAGTATACCAGGATCCCTTCCTCAGTGCCTAAGGAAGGGAGAACTGAGACATGACGTCACTTTATAAACATTACAGCCTGGTACCAGTGCTCCTTATCTCCAGGTTTGTAATGTCTGGGCACACTGATGGAGTTCCCGCCTCCCCCACCCACCCCCCACCCCCGTTTGAAGGAACGTTATTGATAGAATGATGAATTATTTTCTCTGTTTGCACACACTTACCCAATGGGTTTCATGGAAGTTTTTCACACAACCGCACTAAGATCTACATTCACAAACTCGAGGAAAGAGTGCTTTCTCATTTAACTCAGACAGCTCAGATTTACACGAATCACTTCATCACTTTGGTTTACTTATTTTTCCCCTTTTTACAGTATGTTCAAATAATGAAAACACACTGAAGTCCATCATGAAGAAAAGCGATGGGAATAAAGATTCGAATGGCGCCAAAAAGAATCTTCAGTTCATTGGCATTAACGGCGGGTAAGGCAAGCTGTGGCGTTGGGGTGTAAAGCCGCCTGTCTCCTCTGCCTCCTCCCCACTTAAGTCGCTGTCAGGGTGCCTGTTCTGGGATGCTGC